AAATTTAGATAACCTCCAAGCCACAAACAATCACACTGATGGAAAAGATGACATTAGATATGCAACATAACATTCCCAAGTGTGACCACACAACCCTACGAGAAAGTGGACAGGTCCTGCTGTGTGCTTGCCACTTGAGCATTTGCTATGTCACTTGGTACTGTTTATGACAACGCTAAGGACCAAAACAACAACAAAAAACAATTAAATGATCTGGTCAGGTGTGGCAATCTTACCACTTAGGAGGCAGAGGCAGGAAGATCACTTTAAGTTCAAGGCCAGACTGGTCTACTTGGTGAATTACAGGCTAACCAGAGCTAGATAATGAGACCCTGTCTCAAAAATAACAAATTATATAAAAGCAAACTGTTCTCTGATCTGCTCCACCCTGTACCCTGAGTTCTGGCCTACATCTGGGTGCATCATAAGACACCCACAAACACATGACTGAACAAGTGAATGAAATGATGAGGCTGAGGTAGAGGAACATGAACCATGAAAAAAGGGACCTGGTTATAGCAAAGAAACAGAAGGTAACCAACCCCCAGGGAGTGGCCTATCTGTCCAAGGCAGAATATGAACCAATATCCAGCATCAGTAATGGCGTTCTCAAGCACAATGAGAAGACCTAGGCTGTCCTCAGGCCTGGTGAAGGACAACATGCTTTTCTGGGAATGGAGGAGGCAAGTCATCACTTGCAGGGCCTGTGACAAATTAAAATGGCCTGTCAAGAAGTGACAGTAAGTACAATGTGGCTTCCCGGATGATCAGTGGGCCAACTAGGAGCTAGGATAGGTCTCCCAAAGTGTGGACATCAAATACAGTATGCAGAAGCAGTGGGTGTCTAGCAACCCACGCCTACTTAGGGTAAGGAGAGGCAGGCCACAAATGCCAATGCTCCACTGTTTAAGATCTGCCCAGCTTCCCCTCAATGAAGGCTAGAAAAGAGCCAGCCAGGAGCCCAGTGGCCATACCACCCAGGACAACAGCAGTCTGTGCTCCTCTGAGCTGCCTCCATAAAATGGGACTCATGGTACTGTGAGGATTACATGTCGAATAGAGATACACTCAGCAGCATGCCTGGCACAAACCACACACTGGAGGCCTTAGTGTTACCACAGTGACCATTCCTGTTCCTCCTGGAGCCAGCAATCTGCCAGAAAATCTGGCATCAGACATAGGAAAGGCAGACACAACCCCTTCCCATTAAATTACCTCAGAGTAGATACAGTAAAATCTAGACCTAAGTGCCCAGCCTTGGACAGAGAAGAGAAAGGACTGGGAGGGGTAACCATGGTGATCATGTGGCCCAGCACCAAGGGAAGCTGTATATAGGCTGTTCAATCACTCAGAAATACACATTTAGGTCAGGCACGGTAGACCTATAATTCTAGCACTAGAAAGGCTGAGGCAGGAGGATAGCAAGTATAAGGTCAACTTGAGGTACACAGCAAGACCCCATCTCTAAAAAGAAAGAGAGGGATATGCAAGCCTCATACTACTGTTGGAGATAAAGCAACGAATGAGACATGGAATACATGAATTAAAGGCAGGTCCACTGATGGAAAACACAATGCAGGAGTGTTTTGAATTTCCACTTGAGGGGGGCTGCAAAGTTTGCTCAGCAGTTAAGAGTACCTGCTGCTCTTGAAGAGGACCCAGATTTGAGACCCAGCACCCAGGTGGTGGCTCACAATTGTCTGTAACTCCAGTCCCAGAACATAAGATGCCCTCTTTTGGCATCAGGTCTGGCATATGGTGCACAGACATACATTTAGGCAAAACTCTCATATGATGCCCACTGCTTAGGCCTGGTCTGATCGATCCCCAAATCCCACACAAAGGTAGGAGAGAACCAACTCCCCAAAGCAGTCTCCCCCTCCCTGCTATTTATTTGTTTGTTTGGTTTGGTTTTTTTGAGACAGGGTTTCACTATGTAGCTCTGGCTGGCCTGGAACTCATAGAGATCCACCTGCCTCTGCCTCCCAAGTGCTGGGATTAAAGGCATGTGCCACCAGGCCTGGCCAAAACCTGTCTTTGGATCTCCACATGAGTGCCACACACGAACACTCATCATTAATAAATAAATAACACATTTTAAAATTTCCCTTGAACCTGTCACTTAGACAAATGTAATTCAACCCAAAAGAGAGGAAACATGGAGCTAAGATTAGCATAAATGCTGCAGGCCTCTGGCCACTGATGTGACACACAGCCCTGACTCTAGCAGGGACCTCATGTTGTGACATAGTACATTGCCCTCACTCTCTCAGGGCGTATGCATCACCTGATTCCACAGACACATCTCCATAAACATTAAGTTCCAACATTCATGAAGAAGCCCAGCGTTGGCTTGTCCTGTAACCTGGCCCCTTCCCAACTCCCTGGGCTCAAAAGGACAATGGCATCACACAGCAGCTTCCTTCCATAAACACTAACTCCCAAAGGAACAGAGAAATGAAGTAACACGTATGGACTCATTAACAGATGGGGAACTTACAGGCCATGAGCACATAAACTACAGTGGGTTCTCCAGAAGGACCTAACTCTCAGAGATCTTTGTAGGAGCTAGGGCAAGATGTAATTGTCTTAACTGAGGACGTTCAATGCCCACATCACAAACAAGGACAGTCTTGTGTGCTGTAGTAATAATGCTTCCTGGGTGCATACCCAGCTGGCTGACTTGAGGCCAACATGGACCTATAATTTCAGGGCCACAGATCAGAACCAGAGCAAATTCACTCACTGGATGCTTGTGAGTAGAAGCTGCTCCCAAAACACCTGCCCCTCTCCTTCACGTCCTTTCCCATAACTGAGAATCTACAAAGCCTTTGCTCTGGAGCCTAATTCTGCTGTGCATGGTCAGGTGGAAGCTAAGAAGAATGTCCTGCTCCTGTCCAAAGAAGAGCCTGTCACTGCTGCTGGAAACCATCAGTGCTACACTTCAATGCCCCGATGTCTCTAAGTCCACAGAGGTCCTAACCACAGCAAGTATCTAACGCACCAGACCTGGGGCTCCTGCAGATGCCAGGCCTGTGGTCACAGTATCACAGTCACTGTTTCAGGTGCCAGCGCTAATTAAAAAAAAAAAAAAAAAAAAAGCCGTTTTGATGACTCACATGTTTGTGAAGTCAGAGAGAGCGATGTTCACACCTGAGGAACAAGCTAGACGAGACGTCAAGACAAGAACCCAGCTGTGATCAAGAAGGAGATCAACGGCCAGTATGGAACCGCAGGCCCCTTCCCAGGTGGGCACCACCCTGCTGCTGATCTGAGGAGCCCTGAACTTTGACAAAAACCTAAGGATGAAAATGGACTTTCTTTTTCTGTTTGTTTTCAAGACAGGGTTTCTCTGTGTTCCCCTGGCTGTCCTCCGAACTCAGAGATCCGCCTATCTCTGCCTCCCGAATGCAGGGATTAAAGGCATGTTCCCAGCCTGACATGGTGGATTTTTAATAATAATGAGGAAAAGGAAACATCTACCCATCCTCTAAGAGAACCAGAAGTCCGGCTCTTTCAAACAGCAAACATACACTGTGTCACTCCCCAGAACCAGCTGCTTTATCACTTCCAAATTCCTCTTCTCTGAAGAGGCCCAAGCGTTCTCAGGTCCACCAACTTCACTCAGTGAAGAGTGCTCCCTAGGTCAGTGACCGGATGCTCTGACCACAGAGACCTGGTATTTGTGCTGGATGCATGTCAACCCGACACAAGGAATATGCTGCTACAGCTAAAGCACTCTTTCCTCTCTGCTTCATACTGCAGGATCCACACAAGGACCTGCAAGTGGGCCCTGGGCCTTATACTTGTGCGGTGGAAAAGTGGTGAGTGGTGCCCTGTGAGAAGCAGCCCACAATAAGCCCACATCTCTACTCTTGTGTGTGCTACTGTCCCCACTACAGTTAGCATGCCATAGGAAATATGGCAATATTCAACTGAGAGAGGAGATGAGGAAAGAGGGTCCGGAGGTTGTGTATATGCAGTTGAAGCTGGTGGGGCTAGTAAGATTGAGGGCAGGGAGCCGCTCTCCACAGCATTAACTAAACACTTCTGAAACCAAGCCAAGCCTTTCGACACTCCCCTGCTGGAAAAGCAAACCCAAAGCCTATCTGAGCAAGCCTATCACCCTGCGACATCCAGTCAAATGCCGGTCAAGGCGGTCTGGCTGGTACAGAGGTCCCTTCTCATGCCCCAAAAAGTAAAACTGTGGCTCTTCCTTTCCTCCACGTGAAGATGTCTGCAGTAGGCTGAGGCTCAGAGTGGGAGCTTGGGGAGGAGGTCCAGAACAGATCCGGCAGTGCTGTTCAGAGGAAGGTGGTCATCACCCTTAACAAGTCCTAAACCCAGAGTGGGGAGATGGCTTGCCCACACACTCAGCTGTTATTTACCAAACCGCCAGTGCTCAGAGCACTGAGATAGGACTAACAAGACCCCGAAGAATGAAGTAAGGAAGCAGAGAAAAGAGGCCCAGGAAGGCGACCAGGAAGGTAAAATGAGTCCAGTGATATAAGAATGACAGGCCCACCGGACATTAATTCTTCCGGAGTTGGCAGCCCCAGTAGCCTGTGGTCCACTCCCACCCACTGTTAACTACGATTTTACCTTAAATACTTAAATTAAGAGACAAGCTCAGGCAAGGGCCGGTGATGCAATCTACCTTGTGTATTCTTTGCCATGCACCCGGAAGTTAACAGGAATCACATCGCGGCAGACGTATTTTCTCCCCGCACAGGGTGCGGTGTCCCTGAGCAAACCCCTCCGGCGGCAGTGCGGTGAGGACCCGGCCCAACGTGCGGTGTCTGCCGCGCGGCCCAGGCCAGGCTCTAAAGGACTCCAAAGCCCTGCTGCTGAGACCTGTTACTAGCAACCCTGGCCCGCGCCCGCTCGCCGACGGCTTCCCAAGGCAGGGCCGGAGGGTACCGCAGCGACACGCGCAGAGGCCGCCCGCGCCCGCGACAGGCCGCTCCCGCCCCGCGCGCCCACCGCCAACGCCGGCCTACCGTTGCTGTAGGCGTACGGGGATTCGGCTGCGCCGTCCTGAAGGCTCTCCAGGATCTCGCCCTTGCCCACGTCGCTGTCGCCCACCAGCAGGAACTTGAGCAGGTAATCGTAGCTCTTCACTGGGCTGCCCTGGGTGCCCATCCTCCCTCCCGCCGCAGCGCAGCCCACGGCGCCGCCGCCAGACCTGCGGGCGAAGGCTGGTGAGCGGCCGTGCGGTCTCGACGCTAAGGTTCCCGCCCGCTGGCCGCCGCCCCCAGCGCGCCCGCCCAGCTGCCTCCAGCTTCACCTCAGCCGCCTAGCCGCCGCCGCCGCCCGCCGCTTCCCGCACCGCACCGCGCAGCCCCGCAGCCCCGCCCCCGGATGCGCCACCGCCATTGGCCGCCCTTCGCCGGCCCTCCCCGGGCCATTGGCCTGGCAGCCTGGCCGTCACGGTCGCCCCGCCCCCACGTCTCCCCGCACACACCGCGCCGCCGAGCCCCCGGTCGCTCCGCCCTGCCCACTCGCCACTGCTATTGGCCCCCTGCCACTCTCCTTCTCATCCCTGTTGGTCTATACGCTGGTCAGTCAGTGCAGTCCCGGTGCCCGCCGTTTCGTACACAGTGTCACGGAGGCTGGCGAATTTCCCCGCCTCCTCGCTGTGACCATTGGACACTTCCCCCTGATTTTCCGGAATCATTGGTCGCCCTTGCACGTCCATCCGAACCCCTGCTGCTTCCTGCAGACTGCCTGAGAGCCATCGCAGCCCGGTTCACGGACTTGCAACACCCTGGCCTCCCGCCCCCTCGTCATCACCATTGGCTACTACTGCTAAGGCATTTGTGCCCTCTCACATCGATCATAACCTTCTAGGCCCACCCCCTTCCTAATTCGCGCCAATCAAGAGTCAAACATTGCACAAGCCTTCCCCTCCCCCTTCGTGGACAAGCGGCAGGATGGCGGTAACTCATGCTTGAGGCGACAGTGCTGAGTCCAGAAGGGCCAGGATATCTATCAAGCCGCGCTGGCCGCTCTCCCGCGAGACCCAGATGGGAAGTAACGACATGGAAGTGCAATCTTGGCTCGCCTTCCCTTGGGGGCAGGGCGGGGGCAGCCAATTCTCGGTGCGGAGGAGGCGAGGCTCTCTCCCCTGTGGGCTGTTCCAAGGGGCGGGACTTCCTCCTGGTTGCGGAGTAGGCGGGACGCTGCTGAGGTCCGCCTCTGAGCAGACTCTCACAGGGGACCTTCCCGAAAGGGATCCTGGAGGCAGCGACAGAGCATCGCCTGCCCGGGGGACTCCGGAGTGGGCAACCCGTCGCATGTGCACATTCTGTGGGTCAGCTCCAAGGCTGGAGGGCCATGGACAGCGTTCTTCAGGAGAGTGCATTCACAAGTCATGTGACTTGCAAGAAATTAAAAAGTAAACATAGGTTGGGGCCAACGCGCTTGCGAAGTAAGCCTGACAGAGTTCTGTCTCCCTCCGGCGGCCGGCCTTCTGTAATCCCCGTCCCGCCCCCGCTCCTAGAGTAAGAAAGGAAGTAAAGACAGAAGAATTTGTCCAGCAGTTCAAGGACTAGTGGCCTGGAGTAAAAAAGCAGCGGAACGGGAGAGTTCAGAAAGTGTCCTCTGACCTCCACATACCATAGGCTGTGTGACACACACACACACACACACACACACACACACACACGTACTATACCTTGGAACAGTTTTTAACTCGAACTTCCTGAACATACAGTCAGATTAATAGATAAAATGGGGAGTGGGCTTATCCGTTAAGAGTACTATCTATTCTTTCAGAGTACCAAAGTTCAAATCCCACCACTCACAAGTTCATTACTCTCTGTAACTCTAGTTCCAGACAAATCCGCAGAAAAACCACCATTGCACATTAAAAAAAAAAAAAAAACTACAAAGAAAGACAAGAATAAATAATAGATAAAATGAGGGATTTAGATGGAGAGTTGGCGCAGTGGTTCAAAGCACTCGTTGTTCTAGTCAAGGACCTGGGTTCAGTTCCCAACACCAACGGGTTGGCTCACAGCCATCCATGACTCCAGTTCCAGACAGGGGATCTGATGCCTATTTCTAGCCTCTCCAGCACTAGGCACTCATGGTAAACTTATATACATGCAGGCAAAACACTGATACACAGAAAATAAATCATTAAAAATAGATAACAAAAGCCACGACTTTAATCCCAGCACTTGGGAGGCAGAGGCAGATGGATCTCTGTGAGTTCGAGGCCAGCCTGGTCTACAAAGAGTCCAGGACAAGTCAGGGCTTTGTTACACAGAGAAATGGGGGGATCCAATGTCCACTTTGCCCATGTTGGGCACCCACACTCACATGTACATACACTACCACAATCAGGCCAACAATGGCCAAGCTGGGTGAAGCAGAGTTGCCATGTCTGGTGACAACATGACAGCAGAAGGGAGCTGTGTGGGATACGAATGTTGAAAAGCCAGGAAATGTACCAGACTCCCACACTGAAAACTGTCTCTCTAGCTATGTGACCACTTCATTGACACTACTGCCATCACCACCAATTGTTTTTCCCAGATTGTACAGAATGGAAGTGAGTGGACAATCCCTCAGGAGAATACAAAAGACACAAAGGACCTGTTATTGAGCAGACTGACTGCTCAATGGATGATGAGTTGTCAAGGTTAGTATCAGTTACCAAGTCTATTAATATTAAAAAGTAACAGATCAAATGTTCAAAAGTGAAACTGTAATTAATTCCAGGTTATATCTCACCAGCTATTTAACAAATGTGAGGTCTCCAAAAATAAATAGTCTTGTTAACACACACACAACCAAGGAATAAAGGCTCACATCTCTAACTCCAGCACACTTGGGAGGTTGAAGCAAGTTCAAGACCTGGCTTACAGAGGCCCTGTCTCAAAAAAGTAAAAATCATAAAAAGGGTCTTTTCTCCCCCAAGGGACTGTTGGACCCAGGCCTTGCCTCCAGCAGCAGGTACCCCTCATTCCAGCAGCCCCACACTTGAGTGACTATCTCTCCCCAAAGCTGAAGACATGGCTTTTATGAGCATCCTTACCATTGGAGCATTGCTACTTGGTTTGACACAATATTCTGGGAAGCTTTTTTGAGGAGGTGGTGCCTGGGAAACAGTAACAGAGCTTTCCTCACCTGCCTTCAGGGACAGGCTTTCCTGCTAGTCTCCTGGTCAAGGGTGTGTAGGGTGTAGACTCCTGGAACCCACAGACCTACACCGGGGCCTTCCAGCAGGACTTGTCAGCTCACTCTCCAAACGATCCCAGTGGTTACTACCTGTACCTTTTTTCAGGCTATGGTTTTTGCCCAGGAGTGGCCAATCCCTGAACCAGATCTGCATCACACTCAACCACAGATTAACAGCGACCCACAAAGTCCTGACCTTCAGCTGATGAGTGGTTGAGGATGGAGTCCCTAGAGAGCCAGAACCTGGTTGTCAGGGAGATCCTCCCTTGTAGAGGCCACTGTGCCCTGACTTGAGCCTTGCCTCTGCTGTAATGGCTCTCACTACCTGTGCTGGCTGTAATGTCTGTGCAAGCCTTTCTTCATAGGTGTAAGGCTTGAAATAGTGATGTTCATCCATGGTGCTTAGGCTATCTGGAAGGGATGTAGGGAGCCCAGACCTCCTTTCCAGAGAGACAGACAGCCTGTGACAGCTGAAGTCAGATGTGAGCTTAACTATATTAAGGAATTCCGAGAACACTGGTCACACTTTACCTTGAGGCTGTCTGTGAGAATATTTCTAAAAACAGGGACAGGCCTTTGAGTCTGGACTAAGCAGCATGGTGGCTCACACCTTATTTCACAATTTGTCAGGCGGGACTCATGGGAGGTAATTATTAGGTGAAGTCATGAGGCTGGCTCCCATGGTGGCATTAGTGGCCTTAGAGGAGAACTGAGCTAGCACACTTGCTTTGTTCACACCATGTGATGCCAGGCACCATATTGTGTTTGGCAAAAATGCCCACAACCAGATGCTGACTCTGTGTTCTTGGATTCTCAGCCTCTAGAACAAGCCAAATGAGCCTCTATTGATAAAGCGTCTGGTCTCTTGTATTTTGTTATAATTAGAGAAAGTAGACTAAGTCCAACTTCCCCAACCTGGGTGGGACTCTTAAGTCCCCAGAGAGCTCTGGGAATCATACAAAAGACAGACCCGGGAAGCTCAGAAATAAACACAAAAATTTAAGTTGTGTTGGAAATGGAACCCAGTCGATAGTTTGCGTAGAATGCATAAAACCCATGAGGGTTTGGTCCTTAGAACTGCCTAAAACTGTAGTCTCAATACTCAAGAAGTGGAGGCAGGAAGATCAGCAGTTCAAGGTCATCTTCAGCTACATAGCCAGTTTGAAACCACCCTGAGATACATGATACATGTTTCAAAAAAGAAATGTTTCAATTACTCAGAAGTCCTGGCCTTAGACTGGCAGCAAGAAGAGGCCTCACAACCTCTCATAAGTAGACAGATCCAGACATCTTGATGGACAGTACAGTTAGTAGAAAGAGAATGAGGAAGGCAGGCCTTTTTCACATCCCAAGTATTTGTAGAAAAGCTTCTTTTAGTTACAAAGGAAGGCAGATTGTGATAGGAACCCTATCAGCTCCTGAGAAAAGCCACCAATTTGACAGCACTAGGCACCTGTCCACCAAAATAATGCCCCCACAAACAGTTCCTGTTGTTACAAAGCATGAGCTATGCCTGAGAATCATCAGAAAAACCTCCACGGGCACAGCTCTCTGCAAGAGGCAATTCTTGTGGCTCCAGTGGCCAGTGTTCCTTCAGCCAGCTTTGGTGCCAGGCCCTGACTGGTCCCCCAAAGGGCAGACAGCCCAGGACTCTGCTGTACAGAATGACAGCTGCCAGGCAAACCTCATGACAGGGTTACAAGGGCCAGATGGGCTGAGGTCAGGACCTCCACCTGATGGGAGTCCAGGAGTGAAGGGGTGAGAGCAGGCAGCTACAGGATATATAAGGGTGGCCAGAGTGAGAAAGAATGCATACACAGGAAGTGCTAATCCACGTGCAGCTGAGCTGAAAGTGTTACCAAGAAGCCCAGGCCCACGACCTCTGTATTTGGACCAAGTGACAGCTGCGAGGCCTGCCTAGAGTGTAGCGCCCAGGATTGCAAATCACAAAGCCACTTTCAGCAGGCTCTCGGTGGGCACAGAATCACAAAAGGGCTCCATGGCACTCCCCAGCTGACCTCTACTGGTCCTTTGTGGAGCCCCAGGCTAGGAAGCAACTGAGGGTCTCTTCTCCATAACCAGAACAGGCCTGGAGGCATCTGAATGCTGCAGATGTTAAGAGTCAGTTCAGGACTGGTGGTGGTGGCATACACCTTTAATCCCAGCACTGGAGAGGCAGAGACGGTGAATCTCAATGTGAGGCCAGCTTGCTCTACAGAGTGAGTTCAGGGACAGCCAGAGCTACACAGAAAAACCCTGTGAATTCAGAACACTGCTCTCTCTTGCATGGAATCCACCCACTCCGAGCTCAGAGTAGACAGGCCCACCTCTACCTCTGCCAGACTGCATCCCTGTCCCAGGTACCAAGATGAGGCTATGGCCAGAGGCCCTGAGCCCTAGGTTTGTTCACCTATCTAAGATGTCTTCAAGAGCCTAGGGCTGCACACTCACCCAGAAGACTCTTGTAGAGGCCTTAGACAGGAAATAATGGCAGTCATCTGGAGGAAGCCAATGCTTCACCTAGCCCACCCACCAGAGCCTGGCCAGACTTGCTGTACACCCAAACTGGTACTCCAAATTCATGAGATTTTATTGTCACCACAGGATCAGGATTCATCTTCAACAACACCCTCCACTGGGTGCTTAAGAGTTGTTGTGACCTATAGCAAGAGGAAGCAGGCACAGATGAACCAATATCGATAGTTCTGAGTGCCCCTGAGAGACAGGCAGGGCTGGGTGACCTCTCCTGCCCATAGCTGACACGACCAGACCATTAAGCAGTGAGGTTTCCTGCCCCTAGGGACTAACTCACATGCAGTCCCACTAAGTGTCAGAGAACCCTGGCCATTCCACCTGCCCAAGGTCATTCACACACTGGGCCACAAAAGTGCCTATCTAGAAGGGAGCTTCCTGGTCCTGTAAGGAGTCAATAAGAGAAGAAAGAATACTTTGCCAAAGGCCTATCCCACATGGGGCACTAAGCAAGAGCACAGCAGCCAGGTGAGCAGGTATCCAATTACCACACATGATGTGACTTCAAGCAAAGGGTACCCAAAGGCCTATTAGCAGCAACTTCACAAGGTAATCTCAGGGAGCAGCAACAAGCAAACCCAATGAAGTACAGGGTGAGAGATTAGTTTGCTGGGGCAAGGCCTCAGCAGCTGCCTCAATTCCCCAGATGGGAATGTTCTGCTGAGGCTTCTGGAGTGTACCAGGTGCCCAGGAGTGCTCCCACCCAATAAAGCAGCCAAGGACGGCCAGCGTACCCTACAGGGTCTGTACACTCCTAGGAATCAGGCCTACTGCAGTAACTTCAACAAAACACATGGGTCCCCACCCAGGTGGTGCTAGAGCAGTGGTTCTCAACCTGTGAGTCGGGACCCCTTGGGGTGTCAAATGACCCTTTCACAAGAGTCACCTAAGACCTTCAGAAAACACAGACATTTACATCACAATTCATACAGTAGCAAAATTGCAGTTAGGCAGTAGCAGTGAAAATAATTGTATGGTTGGGAGTCACCACACCATAAGGAACTATTAAAGGGTCTCAGCATGGGGAAGGTTGAGAACCACTGTGCTAGAGAGACGGAGTGCAAGACTGAGCTGGCAGTGTCTAAGAGCCAAAGTAGTAACTCAAGGGGAAGGCCTGCCGACATTCAGTACATAGAGTGTCAGGCTGGCCCACGTGGGACCTGAGATGACCCAGGGTCAGTACTATCCTGGCAGAGAGGAGGCGCGATGGCTGTGTAGTAGCTATGGATAGGCTGTGTCCAGCTCCTCAGTCCTGTTTGTCCTCTCTTTGCCTCCAGGGGTAGATGAGCTCTCCGAAGAACAGCTTTCGGCACAGGGTGCCCCAGGAGTGCTTGGGATGGCAGCCACAGCTGGGCAGGCGGTAGGTGTGCACCACATGGCTATAGGGCAGGGGGTTGATCTGCAAGGGCAGGGTAGTTGTCAGTGCGGTAGTTGTCATAGGTGCTTCAGCTATGTCTACAGAGGAGGCTCCTGAGGGCTGGCCCCCTGGACCTGACTGGTGCTCTGGAGAATCTTGGCTAGACAACTGTAGGGTAAGGCCAAAAGGCTCTGACAAACCTTTGCCTACGGAATAGCCAAGCTGATCCTCAGAGAAGCAGGCCATACAGCATTCGGATACCCAAGGAACATATGGTGACAGGCAACTCAGTGTCCCTTTGGGACAGTAATGTCCTATCCTAAGATCCATTCTGCTTCTGGGCTCCCAGAAGGAAGATGCTGATGCACATGATTCAGCATCTGAAAGACTTGAACTTGGCTGAAGATACAATCCATTGCCTGGCAAGTCACCCCAAAACATGTTCTGCTCTCTCCTACGGGGATCAAGAACCCAAGACTAAAAGAGCCAAGGGTTCAAGTCCAACAGGAAATGACTACTTGTCATGAGGCCTTTGTAAAGCCATTTCTGTTTCTTTACAATCTTGAGCACTATGTGGTCCAGGGCAGTTCATGATGTCTCTAGCCCAGGACAGGGATGCCCCACCCACAGCCTGGACTAGGTATCAGCTATGTAGACCACAATAGGTAGTCCCAACCCTGCTGGGGAGGTTCTAGCACAGTGAGTTATTGTGCTCAGATGTCAGGGAACCTACTCCTTAGCTCCACTGGGTCCTTCTATTTATATCTGATCTTTGGCTGATATAACACCAAGGTATCACACCAACTAACCCCAGCTGTCCCAGAACACTGGCAGAATATGGTGGAAGGGGGTCCCAGGTCTGAGGGGTAGGGAAGGTTAGAGGGAGTTCTTACCTGCATCAGGAGGCGGAGGGGCCTGCCTGCTTCCTGTTCCAGAACTTTGAACTTCACACCAGCTATAAGAAAGCAAGGTATTTAGGAAGGAGGGTGGAAGCTCTCAACCCCCAATCAGCTTCCATTGGTCCTACTGAATGCTGTGGGTCAGCAGAGGCTGTTGCAGATGGCAATTTATGACAACAGAAGCCCCTTCGAGAGCACCCAGGTGGCAGCAGACCTACCTGGGCACACACAGTTCTCTCCTCCTCCGCCTTTCCCATCTGCCTCTATGCTGGGTGGCGGATGCCCTATTAATGGTTCAGTGTCTTACAACTTCTATGTCTGGCTGACTTGGGGACCCACAGCATCCCCGGCCTGTAGTTTGGTTCCCAGTCTAGGAAATGTCCAAGAGGAAGGTTTTTAAAAGAGCAGGAAATGGGCTGTGTGGTGATGGTGGTGGCGCACACCTTTAATCCAAGCACTTGCGAGGCAGAGGCAGGCAGATCTCTATGAGTTTGAGGCCAGCCTGGTCTACAAAGTGAGTTCCAGGAGAGCCAGGGATACACAGAGAAACCCTGTCTCAAAAAAAAACAAAAAACAAAAAACAAAAAACAAAAAAAAAAAAAAAAAAAAAAAACAAGACAAAAAGGGCAGAAAATGAAGCTTACTTGAAGTGAGGTGGGAAGGGTCAGAACCGTGGCCCCCTATGCAGAGTTAAACTGCCCTACCCCGGCTGTCAGCTCCAGGCTGGGGAAAAAGAGGCCCTACATCCCAGGCTGGATCTGGGTCAACTTTGGCCCACCTGTCTTTGTGTGGAGGCAGAGAGTTTACAGGCAACATTGCAAATGAGTCTCTGACCTGGGCCCCCTGAAGTTAATGAAGAAATTAGCTAGAAGGATGTTGTCAAAATGTTTTATAGGCATTCAGCAGCAGGCAGACTTTGATATTGGTTCAAAGCCAAGAAATCTGCATGTCCCTAATCAAAAGGCTCTAAGCTGGCTGGAAGAGTCACATGGGCATAATGATCACCTTAGAAATCACCTGAACTGTTGAGTTCACTATGCCAGGTAATCCTAGGTCCCTGCTGTGTCCAAGGCTCCAGAGACAAATGGGTTGCCCATAACAACCTCGTGCCTAATGGAGATAGATTCCCCTCAAGGGATCTGGTATCAGAATGCAGAGATTCAGGGGGATATCTTGGGTGACAGGTGATGATTACAGACAGTACAGGATGATCCTATTACAGTCTAGCAGCCCTCATTCTGGCCAGTCCCTCCAAGGGTGAGGATCATCAAAAAGCAGACATATAACCTATAACCACATGGAGATGGACTTCTCTGAGGCCCAGTCATACCCTACAAAGACCCTACAGCAAGCCTCACATATTACAGGCTGGATGAGTCCTCAGGTCTTCATGCCTCTGAACTTTACCCTCCAGGGAGAGAGAGAACACAGCATGTGCCCAGGGCCAAGTCTGTCTTCACTGCCCTGTCCACCATGCTACATCCACCAATTCTTTCAGGCAGAAAACACATGAGGTTGGCACAGGTGAGGTTGGCACAAGGCCTATGGGTATGTTGTAGCATCTGTCAGAAACCAGCCACCCAGTACCAAACACTTACCTGCCAGCCTGTAGGGTCGGCAGAGTCGGAGGCCAAGGGAGTATAGAGGCACGGAGTTAATGATGTCTACAAGTAGATGGATTAAGCCCTGCACAGTGATCACCAGGAGCCGGAGCTGTAGCAAAGATGACATTCAGGGCCACTGACTGGGGCTGTGGCCACACATCAGACAGGTCTAGGAGGAGAGTATCCCAAAAGGCTCACCACTAGAGGAGGGCTCCTCTAAGACTCCATCCCTCTACTATGGGTCCCAACCTCCCCTGTAGCCAGCTCAGGGCAGAAACCCAACTGCTTTAAGACCAGTACATAGTTTCCAATGAGTTCAGAACAGCCGTGCCGATGTGAGCAAAGAAGTAGATGGCCTGTCCCCTGTGTGCCTGGCTCAGGCAGTGACCAAGTTCTGTAGGCCCCAAGGCAGTGGGTAGTGAGCTCACCAGGGTGAATACCAGGTAGTACAAAGCTGTGGTGGGCAGCAAGAAGATCAGGATGGTGAAGAGCAAGGTCCCAATGAACAGCTGTAGGGAACAAGGGCCAGCGTACTTGGCATCACAAGGCCAACACCAGGGAGGCCACTCCATTGATGGCCACACACATCCATCCTTAAACTGAAGTTGGAATTTTTTGGCCTCCTGAGCTAGCAAGGGTCAGCATGTCCCCTTTACCATGAGGGGTGCTTTTACATATCCTGTGGACCTGGTGGTTTGTGGGGAAAAAGCCAGCAGGGTACACAGGCAAATATGACGTTAGGAAGAAGTACATGTATCACATCTTGGAAAACAAATGGAATAAGCCAAAGCAGGCCCTATGCCCACCTGGGGAAAGTATGTAGGTCTGCTGGTACCTCCCCCTAGGCCAACTGCTGGAGGCTAGCTGCAGGATAGGAGTAGGCTGGTCACTGGTAGGGTCCAAGTAGCTGCCCTGGCCCGGTCAGCAGGCTCAAAGCTGTAGGTACCTGGTCAAGGTCATAGGAACAAGAATCCACCCGCTGGCGCAGAACATTCCACTTCTTCCCCCGGAACAGACGCCAGAGAGAGGAGAGGCCATAGATCTTCAGGCAGTACAGCCTGTAGGACACAGGCTCATGAGGGCCAGCTGGGGGCCCAAGCCACATCTCACCCAACATACCCAACACACACCTGTTGTGTGCCCATGGCTTAGAAAGCTACACCTGGATGTACACATACCTGGCACCGTAGACATAGAAGCAGTAGATGTGGAAGGTAAGAAGGGCGATGATGTCCGAAAGAATGGACAAGGCAACAGTCAGTCCAAGGCAGGCTGAGAGGCCCACATGCCACAGGATGTGCTCAATAAAGGGAGACATAAGGTGGATATAGCCTGTGGAAAAGGGTTCAGCCTTGAGTAGTGCCCAGTGAGGCATTGGGAGACCCCGTTTCTGAAACTGGATATCTAACACTTCAGGACACAAGTGAGCACAGACCCAGCCACTGGCCCCAGAATTTGACTGGAGCGGCTGGCCTAACAGAGGTGGCTTCATACGATGGGATGCCAGAATATGGAGGCAGGAGGGGAATGGGGCATGGATAGGGTTCCCTGTTCTCCTCAACCAGCCCTGCTGGACTGCCCAACCCTGCCCATCAGGCACTCACTGATCCATAGATGGATGTGGTACAGGAAAAAGCGGCCTAGCACCTGATCCAGTGCCCGATTCATCTTGAGCCCAGCAGGAGCACCCATCAGCCACTGCAGCAGATGCTGGAGCTCCTCAGCCACACGCTACAGGGACATGGGACAGGAGAAGGATGACATGGTTACATTGAGGTAGGTGGGTGGGTCGAGGATTGACCCTAATGAGTTCCCACCCTAGCCAGTCTATCTGGGCAGGGCAAAAGCAGCCTGCACTTCCTTCCTTCAAAGGTTCAGAATCATTGTCTTCTGATTTATTTAAACAGTGTCTCACTATGTAGCTCTGGCTGTCTTGGAACTCACTATGTAGGCTAGGTTGACCTCAAACTCAATAGAGATCCACCTGCCTCTGCCTCTCCAGTGCCAAGATTACAAGTGTGTACCACCAAGCCGAGCAAATCATTGGACAGAATCTAACATTGGACATCTAACATTGGACAGAAACAGTGTTTCCCAAATTTGTCTGGCCACTGGACTCCTGACCCTTGGTCACAGATTATTTTCAGGATCCTGGGCTGAAGCATCTTCCAACAGGTGGAATACATGTGTCCCTAAGGGACATCTACCTCAACGTGAGAACTTCCTTCATTCTCCTATCCTGTCACTTTAGCCCTAGACCCATAGGGCTCTAAGCCCAATGATCCCTGGATACCACTGAGGCTGGAGAGATAGGCTCAGTTTAAGCTATACTTCGGAAATACTGAAGCCCTCAGTCAGAGACTTCACCTTGACACTTGGAAACCCAGAAATGGTTAGCAATTTTGGGAATAAGTCTTATCATGGATCAGGGAAGCAGGTGAGAACACGTGCAGGCAAGGGCCCTCAGAGAAAGGAAAAATTAATTAATTGAGTACAATAAACAGCACAGGGGTTTCAAACAGGGAAAGTGGCCCTGGCTGCCATGATGAGAGAACACTGATGGAGCTACTCACCAGCCACAGTGGGGGAAGTAAGGCGGTTAAGGGATGCTCTACTCTGTTATCACGGTGAGGCCACACGAGTAATTTTTTGTCTGTTTTGTTTTTTTGAGACAGGGTTTCTTTGTATAGCCTTGGCTGTACTGGAATTCACTCTGTAGACAAGGCTGGTCTTGAACTCATAGAGATCCATCTGTCTCTGCCTCTCAATTTAATTAAATTAAATTCGTGCACCACCACCATCCAGCACACAGAAGTAACTCTTGTATCCCTATGTACTCTTCCCAAAACCTCTTGCAACCCTGTGCAAGAGCCTTAGGACCACCAGGGAGAAGAGCAAAACCTTTTTTATAAATAGGGCTTATTTAATATTTAAAGGATAAAAGCCTGGCAGCGGAAAGAGACTCCATTTTTTAATCAAGTATTTATGGGTTTTGTTTTTTTGTTTTTTTTTTTTTTTTTTTTTGGCAGTTTTGCAAAGAGGATTCAGACAAAGCTGGCCAAGAAACAGAATATAGAAACAGCCTAACCTCTGTTACCGCAGTCCCAGCTTTTCTTTCCTACTGGGATGACCTCCACATACCTCACAATTCATGAAGCTGAGAGGAGCTTGCTGCTACCAGATTCCTGGCCTAGCAGCAAACAGCTGGTATGTGTCTATATTGATGGAGCAGAAGCTGTACCCATGAGGAGGTCCTCAAGGCTTCCATAGTAGAGACAATGCCTTGCCTCTACTGAAGATAGGTTGGAAAGTTCCAAGGCTGGGTGGAAATGAGGTGGAGGAGGCCAGAAGAGCAGGACTGGACCAGCAGCATGTGCTGTACATACCATGTAGGGGAATACTTGGCAGCATAGAGGACAAAGCTGTGCCTCTTGTTTCCAGTGTAAGAGCAATCTGGGAATAGTGTGGCCAGTCCAGCAACAGTCCTGAGCACTTGGGTGTCCTGAGGCTGGCTTTCATCTGGAAGATCAGCTCAGTAGAGAAAAGGGGCTCATGAAAGCCTCAACCATAAGTGGCCCCAGACACTGCCACCTTCAAGAAGGGACAGCAGACCCTTGAACAATGCTGCTCTCGACACAGGTCCCGAAAGCCAGGAAACATCTAAGCCTAGGGCCAAGGATTGTGTCTCTAGGGTAAGGACAAGGAAGAGATATTCGGTCCAGCTAAAGGACTACCCAAGAGGATTCCCAACCCTCAGGAAGCCCGGCTCCATCCAAATCCACTCACATCAGCCACAGGGACCAAGGCATTGGCCAGCTGTCCAATTCGGTTATTGCTGTGGAGCCATGAGAGCAGCAGCAGGCCAAGAGCCACATCCAGTAGCATGGAAACCAGCAAGTTGGCCTTCCTGGAAGGAATGTCAGGGAAAGCAGCTGAGAGAGTTAGACCTAGCCTGTGACCTGAGAGAGGCCTGGCTGAAGGAACAATGCAGGGCAGCAGTGAAGAGCATGGGACTTCCCACCCTTCTTGTCAAGGAAGCCATACCTCATCAGCTGCATGGGACTCTGGGCTTTTTCGGTGCTGAAGACGAGTGAGAGGTGCTTCAGTCGGTGCTGGAGCTGCTCACAAGTGGAGAGCTTGCTCCTGATGAAGGAAAGGGGCCACAGCTTCCACAGCCTGGAAAGAATATAAGGGCCGAGACTGACAGTTTTGATTAAGTTCCTCACTCTAGAAAGCAAAAGCCAGATCCACTCAGCCTGAGCCCTCTGGTTCCACTCCAAAGCTCAGCGAGGCCCAAGCAAGCATGAAGGTCAACATGGCCAAGCAAGGATGCAAAGGTGTGAAATGCACAGCACCCTGCTGACCCCCATTCCGCATTGTGCTTACTGTTACTCCTAAGCTGGAACCCCTCACAGAGCCTCAGGTACACCTGAGCTCACTAGCCAATACAAAGGTATGTATCAATATGGCTGAAAAGTGAGCCAGGAGTGGTGGCACATGCCTTTAGACCCAGTACTCTGGAGGCAGAGGAAAACAGATTTTTTTCTCAAGACAGGGTTTCTCTGGGTAGCCTTGGCTGTCCTGGAACTCACTCTGTAGACCAGGCTGGCTTCAAACTCACAGAGATCTGCCTGAGTGCTGAGATTAAAAGCATGTGCCACTACCCTCCGGCTATCAAACAGATTTTTTTTAGTTCAAGGCCAAGCTTGGTCAGGGCTACCCTTTCTCTCAAAAAAAAAAAAAAAAAGTCTCAAAAGTGGGGATTAGGTCATCTTCTACACACCCAGGGCTTGCTGTGCCTACTGGATGGTAACCCGCCTCAGCAGAGTTTTCCTGGCCATCCCAGTAAGACTGAATTCCTCACAAAGGAAGCACTGAGATATTTCCACAGATACTCATATAGGAAGAGAAAATGTCTCCAAGCTAAGGAAGAAAAAGTGCCTGAGAGCAACTGAGCTGCACTCATGTGAGCAGGACAGCAGGGTGGAGGAGCACAAAGAACAGCAGCAGCAGGAGCTCTATTTCCACTCTCAGCTCTTGCTGGAGGCCTAAGGGCTCCTGGGACATAGACAACTTTGTGTAACTTCAGGAGGAAAGAACAGGACATGATTTGTCTTTCAAATAGCCAACCACAGTGATCTTACTGGCCACATGAAACGCTAAGGCTTCAGATCAGTCCTTCAGAGCCCAGGCTCACCACACCTTTGGGTTGTTTGAGAAAGGCACGAGGTCAAGCTAGAGGAGTTTTGCTCTATAGTGTGAGCCTCCCTGTACTCCTAGCCACTCAGCACTCATAACCACTGACTCTTGCTTGATGAGAAGGCTGGTGTCTGCAATCAATACACAAGCACCTCAATCTCCCTTGAATCCCTTGAGAGGAAAAACTAATGACCTTCTCTGATGTAATGGCACTTGGGCCCAGATGCACCTTCACCTTATTAACTCCAATGCTGTCACAAAGTCTACACCATACATCAAAATACTAGAAGCTCCAGCAACCTAAAGTGTATCCCCACAGGTTACCCAGGACTTCCTTTCTAGGACAGTATCCAAAGGTCCCCAAAGCCCCTGGAAAGTGGGAAAGGCCAGCTAGATCCCACCCCAGACACCAGTCTGTAAATCTAAAAAGAGGGGAGGAAGCTGAGAGAACTCCAGCTGTTCCTTACGGGCAGCACCAAGAAAACATCATCTTAGGCTGGGATGTAGCTCATCGGGTGGAGTGCTTGCCCAGTACTGTGGTGGCATATGCCTTTAATACCAGCATTCTGGAGGCAGAGGGAGGTGGATCTGTGAGTTCCAGGCCAGCCTGGTCTATGGAGAGTTTTCCAGGCCAGCCAGGACCTCGTAGTGACAACTGTCTCAAAGTTAAAGGTCATCTTTGGCTATATAGCAAGTTTGTGCCCAGATTGAGATAAATGAAAAACCTGTTTTATTTTTAAAAGAGAGACAGAGTTGAGAGTTAAAACATAACAACAGAGAGAGAGAGAGAGAGAGAGAGAGAGAGAGAGAAGAGAGCAGAGAATATCTCTGGGAGAAAAGGGCCCCCAGGCCTTCCTTTACAAGCTAAACTAAAAGAGCCTGGTGCTACCCAGCACTCCCAGGACTTGGAGACTTTTCCAAACAGCAACCCATTATTTTAGAGAGCCTGAGTGGGGACCACCACCCCAGGAAACTGGCTGCTTGGGAGAGGAACTGCATCAGCACCTGAAGACAGCTGTGGGGAGAACAGAGAAGCAGAGAAGGAGGCAGCTCTGTGTCCTCACAGATCAACCCCAGGTAGGGCAGATATTGGCGTTTAATCCCATCAATCCCAGAGGTAGAGTTTTGAGGCCAGCCTGGTCTACATAGTGAGTTCCAGGCCAGCCAGGGCTACATAGCTGAGACCCTTTCTCAAAACAAACAAACAAACAAACGAAAAATATTAAGATGACCTGAAGAGATGGCGCTGTGATTTGGAGCACCTAGGGTGATTTGTTGCTCTTACAGAAGACATAGGCTTCATTCCCAGTACAGGGTGGCTCATAACCCTCTGTAACTCCAGTCTCAGGAGATCTGACCAGAGTTCTGACTAGGGACGCACATGATGCATAAATGCAAACATTCATACATAAAATGTTTCAAAAGGTACAAAACCTTGTGTACTTGAGCATCTTTTGGATATATGCCTAGGAGTGGTATAGCTGGATCTTGAAGCACTATTCCTAATTGTCTGAGAAAGCGCCAGATTGATTTCCAAAGTGGTTGTACAAGTTTGCATTCCCACCAGCAATGGAGGAGGGTATAAAAGCAGATATTAAGACTCCTAACCAAACCTTCAGCAGAGAGCAGGGAACCATATGAAAGAAGGGGGAGTTAGTAAGACCTGGAGAGGACAGCTCCACAAGGACCAAATATATCTGGACACAGGGGTCTTTCATGAGACTGTTTCTCCAACCAAGGACCATATACAGATATAACCTAGAACCCCTGCCTGGATATAACCCATGGTAGCTCAGTATCCAAGTGGGTTCTCTAGTAAGGGGAACAAGGGACTATTTCTGACATGAACTCAATGGCGGCGAGCTCTTCAAACTCCCCCCCTCCCGTCCCCCTGAGGGAGGAGCAACCTTGCTAGGCTACAGAAGAGGACATTGCAGCCAGTCCTGAAGAAACCTGATAAGCTAGGGTCAGATGGAAGGGGAGGAGGTCCTCCCCTATCAGGGGACTTGGAAAGGGCCAGCGAGGAGATGAGGAAGGGAGGGTGGATTGGGAGGGAATAAGGGAGGGGGCTACGGCTGGGATACAAAGTAAATAACCTGTCATTAATATAAAAAAAATTAAAAATTAAAAGAAAAAAGTACAAAACCAGTGTGTGATCATCAGATTTCTCCTTTAGGTGCTTGAATTGTCTGTGATTTATTCTATATCCAACTGGATGGGCCTCACACAATCATAGTCTCCAGGAAAAATAGGCTAGACCCAGAGGGGACATGGGAACAGCAGCCTCTACTAGGACATCCTCTGAAATGCAAAAGGAGGGGAGGTCAGATGAGAACCTGGTCCCAGGAACATGAAGCTTAGGAAGGACCCCCTGACTGTCAATGCCACTACACACTGAAGAAAGAGCCTATGGTTCTCATGGGACTGACTGACTTGCTCTACCCTTCCTGTCTAAGACACCTACCGGCAAGCACTAGCTGCTGAGAGCAGGGACAGCAGAGAAGCCATCAGCAGGCAGACAGGTCCCGAGGCCCGTTTTGCCAACTCCACAAGTATGCTGGCCTCCACTCCCTCCGATTGCCAGTGGCTCAGGCGTACGGGGCCCTCATCAAACTGGTCATTTCGGAAGAGCACCTCGCTGCGTGCCACTGTGTCAAAGATGTCAGCTAGGCCTCCAGTGTTGGCTGTGGTGTCTCCAATCTGGCAGTCAGGCAGTTCTGTAGGTGGATGCAGCCAGGAGAGGAGAAGCTTACGCTGATCATAGAAGATGAGCATGACCTGGTCTTCAGTAGGTGTGTTCAGAGCGTTGGACACCTGATGGTAAGTGGCCTTACAGCTCCAGGACCTGGTACCCCTCTCCCGGCATAGCTGCAACCAGGGATCATGGGAGAAGATGGCACCCAGGCCCTCTAGGAAATGCCCCAGGCTCTCCTCTGGCTCCTGCTGACGGTGGCACCAGGTGCCTAATACAGACACTTGTACTTGGCTGGCCTTCTGCACCTGGGCCAGGAGCTCCTTGACTTGGATGGGAATGAAGGGAAAGTGCACCACAGCCAGGATCACAGCACTACTCTGCCCCGGGACCCACCGTCCCACAAGTAGGCCACTATCTGCTGTGGCACAGCATGTGGGGAAGAAGGCCTTGAGCACCATGCCGGGAGTCCTGGAAGAGAGGAGAAAATGTTGGTTTAGAACTGTGGTAACTTGCAGCACAGTGGCTGCAAGTTGCTGTACCATGCTTATGCACCATTCACCTGGCCACAGGTTGGGAAAGCATAGTTCCCAATTTGGTGGCAGGGACTTTGGGCCATGACTATGCATCTCACAGGGACTGAACTTTTCCAATCACTGTCCCAGGAAGGAGCAGCTATATGTGTGAAGGCAGACCAGTGCTTCCTCATGTTCCAAGTGAAGTAGTCTGAAGCAGGGCAAAGTGAGGTATTCAGACAGATAGTACCGACAGCAGTATGTGGGGCTGAGCCTCAGGGCTTCCTAATGTAAAAGGCCTTATGAGTTTCATATGTAAACGCACACAGTATGAGCATGTACACAAATAACTTTAACAATCCAGAAGCCAGCTGTGTGATGCATACCTGTAATTCTAGGAGTAAAGAGGTAGGAGACAGGAGCTTTCAAAAGAAGTGGGGGTGGGGAGGAAGATGGCTCTATGGTTCTTGACTGGTCTTGGTACTTAGGAGGCTAAAACAGAAAGATGACTGTGAGTTCAAGGCCGGCTAGGCCTACCCATGAATTTCAGGGAAGCCTAAGATTTCAGGAAATGTCAGGAAAACCTTGTCTCAAACAGCAAAAACAGGATATACTTAAGCAAGAATTAAGATTAAAAACTCAAAACCTGGGGCTGGGGAGATGGCTCAGAGGTTAAGAGCATTTGTTGCTTTTGCAGAGAACCTGAGTTTGATTCCCAACATACACATGGTGGTCCGTAACCATTCATAATTCCAGTTCTGGCAGATCCATGGGCACCAGGCACACATGTGGTGCACATGCATACATGCAGGCAAAACCTCATACAAATAAAAAAATATTAAAAAAAATATCAAAACTGTTTTGGAGGGCCAGGGATGGCTTTCAATGGTAGAGTGCTTGCCTAGCATGGCCAACATTCTAAGTTTGATCTCAAAGGCCACCAAAAATAAAAATAAAAGCAAACCAAACAAACTTGTTTTGAGACTCAGGAAAACCAGAGGCACACATATAGCACTGGTCCTAAAGCTGAGTTTAAGGTCTAGGACTCAATAACCCTGCTTGAAGAAGCCTCTCCTTTTGGAACAGGAAGCATGTCTTCCTGCCACTGGGCTCAGGGACTGTTCGGGAAGGTAGATTACAAATTTGAGGCCTGCCTGGACTACAAAGTAAGATCAAGGCCAACCCGGTCAATGTAGAAAGACTGTAAGCCCCTCAAGGTACAAAAGTGGCCAGCCTCCATCCTGAGGCCCTCCAACTGCCAGGCTCTGTCCACAGAACACACTAAAGACAGCAATCATGGCCAGGCTCTGCCTTACACAGTAAAAAGCCCAAGCTCCAATCAACCCCTAAGAAACCCTATATAAGCTTGCCTCTTGTTCAGTTGTCTGCTGCTTCTCACCCAAGCAGAGATAGCCATCCTCTTGTGTCTTTCCCAATAAATCTCTTGTGTGAGGTTTGTTGGACACTGTGACTTTGTTGGAATCCCTTGGCTCCAGACTTCCAGGATACTTTTCCCTTCAGAGCCACAACACTTGCCTTGGGGAGTGCCCTTTCCCCTCAGGGCTGTAACACAGAGTTGCTCTACTTTGATTGCCCTCTGCCCATCTGAGGTACCTCTGGTTAGTGCTCATCTTTCTCTGAATCCTTGACAGACACACTAAGATGGGGGCTCCCAGCGGGGCAGTTTTCCTCTCCATGATACCAACACATTTTCTCTGACATGACACCAGCCCTCTTGGGCTCTCAAGATCTTGATGTGGCCTTTGAGTATCAAGAACCACCACAGCACCACAAATCCTCTATCCTGTGGACCCTATACCTTTCCACAGAAGGGAGCTATCTGGAGATTGTGTGTTTCCTCACAGGCATCCCTGCTGAATTGAACTGCTGGAGTGGTTGGCAGGGTTTGGGTGCCTACATGTGACTTTTTTTAGACACTACTACATGTGTTCATATAAAGGACACAGCAATCCTGAGCAAAGACTCCCAATTTTGGATTCGTTCCTGAGGGAGGACTGAACCCCAGCTTAGTAGTCTAGTGTTCACACAAAACCTTTGGACATGAGGGGATATAGAGCAATACAAATACTGGGGGCAGCTGTCCCATAGACAAATGCCCAGAGCCTGAGGGGCCCAGATGCAGCTGCTCCCTCCCTTCAGGTAAGACAGTCCAGAAGACCTCACGTGAACAACTTGGCAAAGGTTTTTGTTTTGTGATACTGAGAAATAGACCTAGAGTCTCATATGAACTGTAAGCCCAGCCCAAAGTTGAGAAGTCTGAATGTGTCTGAATTGAGCGGTAGTACCTCCAAATGCTGATACTGAATAAAAACAACCCAACTTGAAAAAGCTCCCTCTCCCAGGTGAGTCAAGTAAAGAAGTCTCAGGGAGCTGCTCCATAGTCAGAGTCTCCAGTAAAACAAACTCCAAAGTGCCTGGAGAAAGCAGGCAACTGGTGGGTGTTACAGAGAAACCCTGATGCCCAACACCAGCTCAGGCCAAAGTCCCATAGCCAGTGTCAAAACCAGTTTTTCTCATTCCTTCTGTAGAAACTGTCTCCAGAAGGCCATGACACGGGGGAGTAATGCATTGTGAAAAGTACTAGAGCAATTCTGCCTATAGAGCTTCCAGTGGGCCACTGTCAAAGGACCTTTCAGTATAGCCCAAGCTTTTGTTCAACAACCCTGTGAGGACACACCAGCTCAGTGAAATACCATCTGAGTTTCCTGGGGAACACTTCACATAAACTAAGGGAAAATGTTCACAACTGTCCAGGAAGAGAAATGCCCTTGGTCTAATTATAAACAGATGTTGAGGGAGGTGGGTTTGAGTCTGTTCACAATCAGTAAATTCACTGTGCTGTGTATATAGTTTGTGCACATCCTTTTTGTGGAGCATGCTTCATTTACAGTTTATCTTAAAAAAAAAAAAACAAGCAAAGCAAAGCAAAACAAAAAAGCTCAGGTCAAAGAAAAGAAGGTGGAAGGCAGAGGTTGGAGCTCTGATCTGTGAGGTACTGAAAGAAATCAAGTTCGGGGTCAAATTCCCACCCTCACTCCCAACTCAGCCTCCAGAACCACTGAAGTGTAAAGGAGTGTGCTTACACTGGGCTACTGGGATTCCAGCAGCAGAAAAATATGAAAGAGCAGGCAATCAATACAAGAGCTGAAGGCTGGAGAGAGAAGGCAGAAACCTTGGCAGTGCGAACATCTTTAAAGATGCTGATTTAAAAGAACAGCCCAAGCTTGGAAAAGCAGCCTCTGCTAGGAAGGAGTCAGTTCCCTCCCCAACAGCCCATTCCCAGGTGGGTTAAATAAGAGAGGCCTCAGGAAGTCTCTCCAGAGGACTCGAAGTCAGACTTCAGTAGAACTCCTGTTTACCTCCCTTGCCAGGATAGGTATGAGGGATGGCCAGCCCATTTAAGAGAGGCCAGGAATTATCATACCTGAAATGCTCCAAATCTTTGAGAGGGTTCATATTTACCCCACGCTCAAAACAAAACAGAAACCACTCTTCTGACTGGAGATGTAGCTCAGTTGGTAGGGTGCTTGCCTAGCTTGCACAAGACCCTGGGCTCAGTTCCCAGAACCTCATAAACCAATAGTAGTAGTGTCTGTCTGTAATCGAGAAGTGGACGCAGGAACATCAAAACTTCAAGCTCATCCTTTGCTCCACTGGGATTTTAAAGCCAGCCAGCCTAGCCTATAAGAGAACCTGTCCAGAAACTTTTTTTTTTTTTTTTTTTTTTCATTTCAAAAGGAGGGGGTGAATCTGTTTCCGATCTTTACTGAGGTTAATGACAAGTGTGAGTATCCGCGGGTGCCCCAGAAATTTTCCAGCTAGTTCCCAGGCCTGGAGGTGAGGAGGGGCCACCTGGCGCCCTCAAGTTCCAGACAGCAGGCCCAGACCCACAACGGGTGCGGTGGAGCCAAGAGGTGAGCTGCGGGTTGGCCGCCGCTCCCTCCACCCGGTACTGCGGGTTTCCCATCTCAGAGTGTTAAGAGACAGGCACTGAGGACCAAGAGGCCTGTGCTACCTCGGGATTTCCATCTCTTCTCCCGGCCCCGCCGCCCCCTAGTGCTCACCGGCTGGTGCCCCGGGCCGCGTCCCCGAGCGGTAGGGAAGGGACTTGGTTGAGCACCGCTTTCGGCGGGCCCGGGAGGACGATGGTGCTCGCGGCCCCCAGGCCCGCAGCGGGACATCAGCACCATTTCCGCCGGCTCCGCGCGTTGCCGCGCGACGGTCCAGTCCCCAAACCGGCCCGGGCTGTCCACCGACTGAGGCCAAAAGTTCCGCGCGCGGCTCCTGCCATTAAACCTACCTTCGCTGTAAACATCCTGAAAGACCGGCTGGACTCAGCCTTTGGGGACCCATATCGCCGCTTTGTTCTTACCACCCGGCTTTGCCTAGGCTCCTAAGCCCGGACCCTCCCAACTGTCTCTCTGCATTTCGGGTAGGGTGTACAGCGACATTTTTGGACCGCATAGTCCACGAGCAATACCCCTAAGAACGCAACTAATGTTTATTGAACGTCTTACACTCTAGGTTCTTACATTGTCCACTAATTCCCCCATAATATAATGATCAGGATATATTGAGATTAGCTGGAGGAGCGACAGGTGTGGTGGTATAAACCGTAGACCTTAATGTCCAGATGTCAGGCTGGGTACCACCCCACACGCTCAGGAATCAAAAGCAAGCACCTTTTTCCTGCTCCTTCCCACGTGAAGATCCTGACTGAGACGCAGATTCTCACTGAGTAAGCTACACACACACACACACACACACACACACACACACACACACACACACA